ACTTCTAACATGGCCCGAGTGGCAGTGCGCAAATACTTCTAACAATCAACAGAGCAGCAAGTGGAGGTGGGAGTATCGGACGCGCATGCCGTCGTGCCTCAAGAAGACTACACAGAGGTATGGACCCCATTCCCTGGAACATCTTACCCCTGGGCACTGAGGTACGACCGTCTTTTGTGAGAGTGGCGAGCGACCCGGACAAGAGGAAACTGCAATATGACAGTTGCATCAACATCTGTTGCAAATGAAGGCATCTTCTTCAAAGTTCGATGAATGGACAACTTTGGAAGTCGACTTTGACTTGGTGTTCTCCAGAATCATGGTTTTTTTTTTACAGCATTGTCATCTCTCCCTTGCCTCGTGGTATAAACATCATTATATGGATCTTGTTCTGAGGTTGATAGTTTAAAGCTTGTATAAAACCGGCCATCGTGGATCAAGGTTTTCAGCTCTAACCCGTCGAGAACGCATTCGAGAATATGCACTCTGCAAATCTTATGTCTCTGATGAGCTGGCCGCTTCAACTTCTGCCGCAATCAGGGTTGTTCGAAACACATTCGCAAGTTTTGTTCCACTTTCTTTGTGACTTGACTCTTCTTCAAAATCTGCTTACTGTCAGAAGGCACTGGACGTTTCCCTGGAGCCTTCCCTGCCACCCAAGAGCCACTGTAGCCCTGCGGTGGCACTATGGGAGCAAGTGGCAGCAACAGAGATGGAGGCCTCCCAGGCGATCCTCAAAGCAAAGCATCTGCGAGCGGAGGCCCAGAGGGCAGAATGCGGAAAGGTCAGCATATCTTCTGGCAAACAATGTCTGCGGAGCCTGTCAGGGAGTGATTGCCAGCATTCCTTTCTGCCTCTCTAGATGGCGCAAAGTTTTAGCATTGGCGTCAGTCCATATTGTTGAGACAGCTGGCGGAGCACCACAACTAACAGAGACACTGTCAAAGGGCGTTTTCAATCGATTGTGGGTGACAAAGACCTTGCATTGTCTTCACAGCAACTTCATATGCATCAATGATAGAAGTAGCTTGTTTAGAACCTGGCGTGCTGTTGTCCGCAACGGCACACTGGCAACTGCTGCTATAACCCCTCATTACAACATCACTGCACGTCGTCACTGAAAGGAAGCCTGACATGCATAATTTCCAGGACGTTCTCATTTCGAGATCAAGATAGTAGACACCTGATCTGTGGTCTTCGTTGGCAGGCCAAGCCCTTCAGGACACTCTCGTACTTGGTATTTGTCGGCACTGGTCTTTTCCTCAAAATCATTTCTCCATCGCTGTGCAGGCTGACCTCCAAGCCCAGGTAGCAGTACTTCCAAGCAGCACGGGGACAGCAGGGCCTCTGGTGGACATGGTGTCGACACCTATCCAGGCCACACCGCATCCTTCGGGAGTGGAGGCGCATTTGAACGGTGGCCTTATGACAAAACTGTTGAAACAGCAGAGGCTAAACGCTGCGCAGATATGCATCTCTCAAAAGCGCCTGGCTTTGAGTTTTCTCGATGCTCAGCTTTGCAACTTCACTCGTAGACTGCCATTCTCTGGTTTACATTGCACGCCGCGCTCTTTTTCCTCAGCGTATCGCGCTCCACCATGCGCGCGAAGACCGGGCTGTCAGCATTCCAGACGGACGGAGCTCGTGCACAGGTGCCGTTAGTAAAGGCGCTCGGGGCCCTTGCCACATCGTAGTCGCCTTATCTCGTCTTTTTTGCATACAGTTTCATCCTTTACTCGTCCTGTTTCTGTATCACTTTCTAAGTGCATGTCTCTGTCCACCATTGCAAGACATTTTCAGATGGCTACTCAAGCCTAAATACCCTGAAACATTCTCACGAGGTTCAAGGGAACCCTCGAACGAAACGGACTTGTCCTCCATCCTATCCTTTCAAATACCAACGCACATTCCTCTGACCCCGTTGAATCAGTTCTCTCCCTGTCTGTGCAGAAAGCAGGTCCGTCCGTGGTAGTAGCACCCCCCGTCTTCCAGTCCTGCGATCTAACAGGCAGCACGGCCCATGGAAAGCCCCAGCACATTGCATGCCTGGGCCTGGAAGCCCCTCCAAACCCTCTTTGTCCCGACCCCGAGGCAGACCCGGAGGAAGACGGCAGCCTGACGTCGGCGTATGGCGGTGCGTTGGGAGCGTCTGCAGACTTCACTGCCCCAAGTGACGGCCGCCGGCAGTACGGTCTGCGCAGCAGAGAGACTGATCGCAAGGGGAAAGCGAAGGTGCGGATGCGTTCTCGTTTCTAGGACTGTGCAGAACTGCAAGCTTGCTGAGTTCTGTTAGGTATCGACCAGTATTGTGAGGCCGCATTTGGAAGGTGGTCGGAAGCGGTTGCTTCTGCATTTTCAGAGTTGGAGGATGTTGTTGTAGTATCTGTTCTGAATTGTTGAATTGTGTGAGTAGGGCAGGGCTTGAGCAGGTACTTACTATGAACGGCTGAAGGACTTGGCAGAGAAGTACCATCCACAAAAATCACCTGGATCTTCACGACCTTGCGCCAAGGTTTCTCTTTCGTCTAGACATTGGCATCGAAAGCCGTGGGCTGACAACAAATGTTACTAGTAGACCAAGAGTAGTTCAGACACAAGAAGAGCTGGGCATTGGTAGAGGCCTGTCTCTTTCTATTAGGAAAAGTTGATGCTCGGATAAGCCTTTTCATCTGCATATCTTGAATCGCCACAAGTCACCGGAGCCGGAACGTTGACAAGATACGGTCCCAAATTCCTACATAATTGATTTAAGAGACGTTCAGCGATGAGCTATGCTAGCATCAAATGTAGACCTTCCAAGTTCTACTTGAAGAGCTCAAGTACGAGTCTGACAATTATTTCGCCGTGGTCGTTCGCAGGTCCCTCGGGACGCCCCTTCCTCTTCACAAAATGTCACCGTCAATGAGGCGGGCCCCTCCGCAGTACCAACAAACACCCCTGGTGAGCATAAAAACGGCCTTAAGCTATTTGCGAAATATTTAACGAACGTGGATCACGTTGTAAGATTGTTATGAGCTGTTGATGAGATTGATGTTGCTTGGTTGAAGGGCAATCCAGCAATCTTGACGGAGGATAATTCGCCAGACCGTAGTATTGGATAGACCTAAGTCCTTGAGTTGGCCAGGTGAATAGAGTTTGCCATCGTACAGAAATTTGCAGGCAGAATCAGACTTCGGTGCAAAGGACCTTCTCCTCCAAAAAGCGTTGGCTCAAAGGCCCTGCAGGTAGCGCTGCGCACAGCTCTCAGCCTCATAACCCGCATTGGCCACCATGTGTATCACCTCAAGCTTCGCCCGCGTCAACAGAAAAGTGCTCCATCGTCAAATAGCAGAGTCCTTCCATTCTGCTCACAGACAACCCCGACCTAGAGCTTTTTGCTAATCTCCCAGGGACCACGCTCAAGTACGATGACGTCATGAGCCGGGTCATGCCGGCCCACGCCCGCTTCAAGCACGATCCCAGCCGCCTGGTCCGCATGACGAGGCGGCGGAAGCCCGCCTTCTCGTATGCGGCGAAGGTGCTGCATCTTTCCCCCAAAACGCAGGCGGATCTCGCCCGCTTCCACGCGTGGCTTCGGAAGCCCCCACCTACGTGGCAAGGGGGGCCAAACTGCAAGGACTCGGCGGTCAAGATCGTGGATCGCATCCGGGGGATGCTGGGCTGGCTGAGTTACATTGCGAAGCTCACCAACGTGGCTAACGTCAGGCTGCGGGACTTGGTGCCGTCGGCTGACGTGGGCGGCGCAACGCTGGCTCACGAGCACGTCAGGTGGTTGGCGGACGAGCGGGCGGCCGTCGAGTCGACGCTGCAGTGCGTCTACCGGAGCCTGCTGCACCTCGCCATGTATCTGTACCACACGGAATCCAATGTGAGTCATGACAACAGGAAGCATAAATGTGCTGCATGGCTTGCGGGGGCAGGTTTAGGTTCTCAGTTCGTCATTGTATTCTTTTCAAGTGGCAGGTTATTGTACGAGGTTCAAGTGTTGTGGAAGGAGTGGGTTTGCTGTTCTTGACTGCCTATCCTTGCAGCTGGGATTCATCTGGCAAGGGTCCGAGCTTCTGTAACGAATTTCTTGGCACTGCTAACACCTCGCTCGGTCAAAGCAGGTGCGCCTGGCTATTGAGGTTCCTTTACTTTAACACTGGTCTGCTTCGAGTCCTTATGAGAGGTCCTGTCAACCTCGGGATAGGCCTCTTCTGCTCGTCTCTCTTACGCCATCGACTCGGTGTCTTTCTTGCGACAATAATCAAGCGGAAGCTCTTGAATCAGTCGACAACGTCCGACTTGGGATGTTGCGTCAGACATGCCTTGTCTGAACATCGTGCAAAATCGAATTTTAAGTTCAAGACCGACTTCGAAGGAACAATTCGCTACCGAGCTTCGAATGGCTGTGTCCATCTGAACATGCGTTTTTCTTGATCGTCTGTGTCAGCTACACCCGCTCGGCGGGCAGCCCCCGTACGGCGACGTTGCGGTGATTGCCGTGCTCCGCAGCCACTCGGGCTTGCTGCAGCGCAAGGCCAAAAAGGCGCCCAAGGTGGCGGACCAGAAGACCAAGCTCGTGGCGTGGCCCGTCATCGTGGGGGTGCTGCTCAAGGTACGGGTTCCGACCTCTTTGAGTCGAGGATGATCAGGCGCAGGGGTTTGGGGAGTGGAATGGGGCCCAACATGCGCTGTACTCTACAGGATGCTTGTCGGGCGTGGTGTGCGTAGGGCACAAAAACGGGGCATCCTTGCCGCGGGCCGCCAGGATTTTGTGGATCCCAAGGAACTTAAATCAGATGGCTGTCATTCTTGAAGCTCTGGAATTGGATGGACACATGTGGTCCTGAGGTCTGCCCGACCTCCTAAATAAAGCGGAGTCGTGTGGGTTTTTGGTCGGACCCTGCTCTTTTGATGTTACGTTGCTTTCCACTGTTGATCATTCTAAGTCGCTTGTTTACGAGCCCCACGGTATGCTCACACTCTCACCTTGCTCTAGCAGGAATTGCGGGCATAATGTGCAGGACTGTACAAGAAGGGCTCCCCCAGAAAGGCGGCCTCTAACAAATCTTTTAAAGGCAAAGGTTGAGTTTCTATTTAAAGCGCTGTAGGAATCCAATTAACCGAACTGAGTACGCCTTGACGCATGCTCCGGATTCAGCTTTGTATAACAAAATGCAATGTATAAGGTCGTCAGTGACGCTTCGTTAAAAGAGCTAGGCGTAGTTTTCCTTCAGATGAGCGAGCGTTAGGAAGCTTTCTTCTGCCGAGCGAAATCACACGAAAAGTAACTTTAGATATTGTTGGAAATAATGTGCATGCTTTGCCCACTTGATGGAGTTCGTTCCTTGTGTTACGGATCACTGTCATAATACTTTTTTGAAGACACAAGAGGACCTTTTAAGGCATCAAGCTCGTCGATTTGAGCGCTTTCATTGGTTCAATCTCGTGTTAGTTTTCGTTGAAGATACAAATGTTGCCAATCCGTTGAGGCCGAAACCCTAATGTCGATTGGGGTTACCTAGCTAGAATAGGGCGGAGGCGAGGGCGTTCAACTTAAGTCGGTCGGCCAACCTTCATAGAGTCGAACTTCTAGCAAGCTCTTGGAGGCTCATAGCTTTTATAGTGTGTTTAGTTGCCTAAGCTTCTTAAAGATGCAATCATTACAGCTTGGCCAAAAGTGATTGGCATTGCATATAAACAGCGGAAAGTCCAATAAACCGCATATCGGTGCGGAAGGTACCAACAAACGAAGTCTGAAGCGCTTGATTTTAAAGAAGGCGCAACCGCACGATGCGTGGTTCCATGGACGTCGTGGTTTCGAAATGACCCTACACACGGTTAGCGCCACTTCTGGTGGGTCTCTTGGAATTCGGTGATTATACTCAGCCGAATTACTATGGGATTAGGGTTCAACCCGTGTAGGGTTTGACTCGTGAGCGCAAACGTGCGTGTACGGTGGTTAGGCGGTTAAACCGTTAGGCGGTTTGGAGGTTAGGCGGTTGAGAGCGGCCGTCAGTGTAAGCCGTAGATGGGAATTGAGTGTGACTGTGAGCTAGGTTAGTGAGCTTAGTAGAGTGTGACTAAAGCTAGTGAGCCTAGTGGAACGTAAGAGACCCGTAAGACTTATGGTGGTGGATACCACTAATGTGATACATCATTCTAAGAGAAGTTTGTAGAAAGCATGTGAGGCGCTTCGTGTGTTCTTCTTAGGATGCATGGCTGCCACCAATGACTGATAAGCATGGGTGTCGGGCGACACGATATTAGACATAATGACGAGTATCTCGATCCCCCACCATGAGTTTCAACAGGGTCGAAGTACAAACTGGCGTGCAAAGTAATTAAACAGTGCGTGTCGAAGATATAAGTACATTGTGTGATTAAGATTGATGAACGGTCGGATCCATAAGACTAAGAGCAATGACATTTGGGACTCATGAGATCAACATCAAAGAGATTGAGGTTCTTATGGATTTAAGGAAAAGAAGTTGAGTGCATTGCAAACTAAGAGGAAAGAGATTGAGAGGTTGGCAGATTAATAGGAAAGAGCTGAGAGCTTGAGATAGGGAGCTTCTGAGAATTGAGCCGGGTAGCGAGAGCTTGAGACTGAGTTGCGGATTCACAGGAAATACACCAAGTAGTTGGTGAATAAAGACTAGACGGGTTTACAAGGACCTAAGAGGTTAAGATGGGATTTGGACCGTTCGATGGTAGTTGTTGAAAGTGATTGAAGCCAGGCCGTCGATTCGTATCTTAAGATGATAAAAAATCTAAGCTACGTTGAAGTAGCTACGAGACCTAGCTACGGGATTGGACTTGATTTGAAAATTGTCATCTGATGCAAAATCTTACTGAGAGTTGCTTGGTGAGAGTTAGAGCGCTCCCTTTCGTGAAAGCGCTAGTGTTTGAGGGTGGTTGAATCTCTCGTAGATTTCAGATCATGGTGTTATTTCAACAGATTATTGGCCCACAACAACGCGTTCTAAATCAAGGGAATGCTGAGGTGGTTGTGAATTGAGAAGGAAGAGTGTTAAGATTCGGGCATTCAATGTGCGTTCAATCTCTTGGGCAACGTCGACATAAATTTCTACAATGATCGGTAGTTAACGGTTGGCAATTCATTGCGCGCCGGGAACAACGTTCACCCAAATGACTTGTTGAGTAACCCCCGTACTGAGTAAGTTCGACAATCGTATGAAAACCCCTCCGCAAAACCTTTGGACTTAATTATCGGCTGTCAACTGAGCCTACTAGGCAATCAGTATAGACCTAGATTAAGATGTGACTCTACTGGACCGAGTCTAGCATAGCACACGGACTACATAGCTTTAGCACCGTTAGAGTCCGAACATTCGAGTTGTATTGTGTGAATCTGATTATTCGATTATTCATCTCAAACAACGACGTGTTATAGGCCCACAGCGCACGACGGCGCACCACGGCGCCTACCACTGGACGGCTCAAGCATTCAATAGTAGGCCTGCAGGAGGGTAAAAATTGAATATGTTGCGCCAAGATCAGCCAATGGTTCTCTCTTGTCAATGAAGGCATTGGTGGGTCTGCTTTATCGTGGATGCTCTTTAAGGTAAACGCCATCACCGGACACCTACAAAGCAATGTAGGTCGGAACAGCTTTGAGCCGTCCGGTGGGATATTTCGCCGAGATTCCGTATGACTCAAAACATGTGCATGTGCCCCAAAACCTGGCACGTTGGTCGCGGCCAGGAATTATACCAGGATAGAAAATTGCCATGGATTTGCGGCAATTCGGCCCCAAAATATTGAAATCAAGAATTTCCGGGACATCACATCACCGGGCTCATTTATATGTAACGCTGTAGACTTTTTTGTGATGGCAAGATACAGCAGATGATCATCACAGACCGACCGTTTCATGCGTGTTTACCTTATTTCAGATGACGCCTACCTTATGACATACCAAAGATACGTGGTTCCGCTCTTAGCAACTCAATACCGTGGGACGGTACCAGGCTAACACCTACCCTCGGACACTCGATTCCGAAATCATATCATTCTGCGGCGGTTCTGCGGAGCTATCGATAAGATCATACATACCATACACGGTATGTCAGGATCTACTGGTACCAACAAACATTAACTTACCCCGAGCTCAGCTCTAGATCCCTATAAAGACCGTAACACTTCCCGGTTGGTCTTCAAACTCCGCGAACATGATTAGACCTTACGTGGATACACCTCAGTGCCGACGGCCGTCCAGATGGCGGCCAGTCTAAATTGGAAGTTTGATGTGAAGAGCTCTTGTTCATCTTCAAGATATGGTGGTTTGATAAATGCTCCACCTTGCCTCATTATGAGCGTGAAAACTATATTATAACGGAAGTTCCTTGGATAAAGAAATACATCAGACCGTTGAAGATATCAAGCGTGAACTCTTTGCACAAGTGGCATCTCTGTTTCTCTATGTGAGACGCTGTGACAGTCATGCCTTTGCACCTCAATTTTACTGCCAAATATATTGTAAATATGGGGCATGTAGGCTTGCGCCCCAAACACCCGCATGTGCCCCACGTTGGGCTTCTTGCCGTAGAAAGCCTCCCACGGGGTCCTTCCGTGTGCGCTCACAGGGGTCCGGTTCCGGGTGTAGTTGGCCGTCACAACGGCCTCCGCACACATCTCTTTAAGCAGCCCCGAATCCTCGAGCATCGCCGGGACCTTCTCCTCCAACTGCCGATTGAGCCGCTCTGCTCGGCCGTGTAGGGGGCGGTCTTCTCGTGCACCGTCCCCTTGCCCCCGGTTTCACTCCGACACCCTCTACGAGGTTGTCTTGCACCATCTTCGCCAGGTTCTCATACCCAGCGTGCCCCATCCGTCGGTGCCACAGCTCGGCTGTTTCCGGCTTCTTCACGAGGAAACATGCGTCCTGCCCCGGCGCGGCGCCCTCCCGCTCCATTTCCGAAAGCGGCCCCTTTTGAACCACTTTTGGAGATGATGCGTTCTCCGCCCGGTCGAC